TGTTGGGCATTCATGGTGCAGGCGATGGCAGCCCCAGGCCATGCTGCCAACAAGCCGGGATGCAAAGGGACCCGGTGAGCCGGGACAGAGCGGCCTGGGCCGAAGCCAGGGGTTCTCAACCTGGGGGTCGCGAGGGGTCAGCCCCGCACACGGGGTCACCACTACAAAGCGTTTGAGAACCCCTGGCCTGAGCGGTGGGGCAGGCAGGGCAGCTACAGCTCGTCATACAGCCCCACGAGGGAAGCCACCATTCCTGCCGCCGCAAGGACCTGTCCTCCACCCCAGAGGTGCGGAGACCCTGCTCTGGGTCCCACCCAGGGGAGAGGGATCGCCCTGGAGGCTGAGGACAGGGCAAGGGGCCAGGGACCTGCTCTGGGGCCCCGTTTGGTCTCAGTGCAGGGGGGTCCCGCAGGGCGAGAGGCAGCAGGGCATTGTGCAACCCCCTGGAACGGGCTCTGAAAAGAACCCTGGAATTGGTCTTCTGCCCTCATGGAATGGAGGCTGGGTGCAGATAACCACTCAGCGGGCCTGGCCCTCCACCTGCAGCGCCTCCCACAGCGGGGTCCCAGCCCGGACGGGGCTTGCTGGACCCCGCCCGTCTTTGGTCTGAGCCCTGGGCTGCGCCCGGCCTCTCCGCCCGCTGCAGGACGCTATAATTTGCTGTAGATGAAGTGCAGCAGCTTCTCCAGCTGACTGTCCAGGGACAGCTCGTCCCCGTCGTTGGTGATGACCCAGTCGAAGGTCGCGCCCTGGTCCAGGCCGCACTCGGACTCCGCATTGTCCACCCCTGGGGAGGAGCAAACCCAGAGATGTGAGCGCCATGCAGATCGACTGGGGCAATGGACAGCCGCTGTCCCCCCGCTGGCCCCAGCACTCCCGATCCTGGCTGGATCACGGGCGAGGTCCCAAAGCCCTGGAAAATGGCCCTTCCCTAGCGCTCCTCCTCCAGCCTTGCCTGCTCCGCCCAGCTTAGCTGGGGGGAGGAACCAGGGGCCGCGGCAGCTGGGGGTGCAATATGGCCAACCCCAGGAGTCAGGGAGAATCTCCACTCTCCCTTAGGGCCCCGACCTCACGGTGTGCAGGGAAACGGGACCCGGGTGTGACTGAAAGCTCAGAGGCGGTGAAGCAAAGACCCGAATGCCCTGCACCTCAGCATTTGCTGGGGCCTGGCTCGTGATGGCTGAACACGGGGCAGAACCTGGCCGTTCTCAGCCATTGTCATTACCCCAAGCCAGTGCCACTCACCCACTATGAACACCCAGTTCCTCCTCTTCCTCGTCTCCTCCGTCGCCACCACCCGCACCAGCTGCACCGTGGACCCGTACACGTCCTGGAACCACTCCACGTCCGACAGGCGCCGGGTGTCACTCACCACCTGCGCGGGGAAGGAGACGTCACGGGGGAGCTGCGGCAAGGGGGGTGGCTCCTGGTTGCCCCTCCCCCCGGCTGGTCCCCTCCTTACCCAGACGGGCTGCGTTACGCCCTCCACCACAATCCTACAGAAGAAGCCCGGGTCTGTGTTGCGTTTCTCCTCCCCCCAGTGGATCATGTCCTGCCGGTAGGTCTCTTTGTAATCGCTGGCGTCCAGCAGCCGCTGGAAATCCAGCCCGTGCTCCTGCAGAGAGAGAAGAGGTGGCCCTGAGCACACGCTCAGCCACTCCTGGCGCCGCCTGGGCCGCAGGGGGGGGTGGCAGGGCAGTACCTTGGCATACTGCTCCTTGAGGGGTGCCGACAGCTGGAGGATGGCGCAGACATCCGGCCCCAACCTGCCAGAGGGAGGCACAAGTGGTTGGAGGGTGACGGGCAGCGGCCCCGATTCCTGCCAGGCCCATGGGAAGAGAGAGAGATGCATTTCCCCCCACCCCAGTGGGTCTCAGACCCCTTACCCACACCTGAGTGCCACCCCCCTTAGACATTTAAAGCACTATTATAAATGCTGGAGGCAAAGCGGGGTTTGGGGTGGAGGCTGACAGCTCATGACCCCCCATGTAATAACCTTGCGACCCCCGAGGGGTCACGACCCCCAGTTTGAGAACCCCTGACCTACCCACACCCTGGTGGTGGGGCAGCTGCCAAGTCGGAGCCCCACCCTGGTCCGGGGGGTGCCCCGCCCCTGGGGGCTTCCCTGGCTGCAGTTGGGGAGGGGCCCGACCCAATCCCCCCCGGCTCTTCCCCAGGCCTTAGGCCGCTCCCCGCACTACCACACCCATGGGGGTCCCCATACAGGCACCTTGGCTTGGGGCCCCGCCCCGCACTGCCCCATATCCCCGCCCCCGCCTCCTCTCCCGAGCTGCGTCACGCCACCAAGGCCTCCCCTGGCCTGGATCGCCGCGAACTGAGCCACCCCCGGCTCCCCCCTAGTCTTGTCCCGGCTCTGGATGCCCGGACCCGGCTCCCCCGTCCGGTCCCGGTTCTGGAGCCCCCGGTCCGGTCCGTATTCTCCCCAGCCCGGACCCGGCAATCCCGTCCGGTCCCGCTTCTGGAGCCCCCGGTCCGGTCCGGTCCCTCCCCTCCCCAGCCCGGACCCGGCTCCCCCGTCCGGTCCCGCTTCTGGAGCCCCAGCCCCGGATCCCCCCAGGCCCTGCTCCCCCGGCCCGGTCCGTATTCCCTCCAGCCCGGCCCAGTCCCTGTTCCTCCCCCCGGCCCAGTCCCAGCTCCTCCGGCCCGGCCCCGGGACTGGAGCCCCAGATCCCCCCAGGCCCTACTCCCCCGGGCCCGGTCCCTGCTCCCGCCAGGCCCAGCTCCCCCGGTCCGGTCCCAGCCGGTCTGGTCCCTGCTCCCCCCGGCCCGGTCCCAGCTGGTCCAGTCCCTGCTCCCCCCGGTCCGGTCCCAGCTGGTCCGGTCCCTGTTCCCCCCCCGGCCCGGTACCGGTTCTGTATTTCCTCCGCCACGAAGTCCTTGCCCGACTTCCTCTTGCCGCTCAGCAGCAGCACCAGCCGCGGTAGCCCGGCCATGGGACTACTGACACCCCCGCACGCCCAGCGCCCGTGGGCCCGCCCGGGACAGACCATCCGGGCCGGGGGGGTCCGAGGACCTGGCTCCCCTGCGCGGATTCGAGCAGCCGGAAGGCCCGCCCCCTCGGGCCCGACATGGTACAGTCCGTATTCACTTTGCCGCCCACGTGGTGAAACCCGCTTCCCCCCCTCTGCTTGACATAGGCCGGCCCATCCTAGGCGCTGCTGCCCACAGGGGGAGCGCTACCACTGCACGCAAGAGGGGGGGACAGTGGTGCATCCCGGAAAGGGGCGGAGTCAAGCGTGATGAGGGAGGAGCCTCCATAGCTCCCCCCCACGGGTATGAGGCGTCTCCCCACTGAGCCCCGCCCCCAGCACAGCGCCCCCCACTGAGCCCCGCCCCCCCAGCACAGCGCCCCCTCCTGAGCCCCGCCCCCAGCCCAGGCCCCCCAGCACCCATGTGACATTGGGCCAGCACTGACTGCCAGGGGAGAGTGCGCCCCACTGAGCCCCCCCCGCCCCGGCTGTGCCCCTCACAAGGGGCTCCAGATTCTCAGCCAGCTGAGCCCCCCGTTCCCGTCTCTGATGGTGCCTGATCTCCGTCAGGCAGCCCAGGCATCCCATCCCCATCACCCCCGCCCCGCGGCCAGCACGCGGGGCAGACCCATGGTGAGCTGCCCTGTTCCCCCAGGCCAGGCATCGCTCCCCGAGCCTTGGCTGGGGGCTGAACTCCGAGTCCTCCTGGCTCCTCGCACTAACTGGTCAGCGTTTCTGACAGTGGCATTTGGCTAGTTTGCGAGAGCCAGGGCTTGAGGGCGACAGGACAGCACCCCGGGAGACAGAGCCAGGCGTTGTGGGGCTCAGTGCAGGCAGAAAACTCCCCTCCTCTGAGCCTGCCGGGCAGGTGCCCCCTCCCAGCACAGGCTGCAGGAGTCTGGTCCCCCCCCCACAAACCTGCAGGATTACCATCCCGGACGGTCCGGAGTCAGGCTCCCCAACAAGCCTGCGATGGTGTACAAAGAAGAGCTTTGGCGTTCCTGTGCCTGGCCTGGTTACTGAGCCGTTAGGGTGCACGGGGGTCACATCTGGAAGCTTTCTCCACAGCCACCAGGGCTAGAAACTTACTTTTTCTTTACGCCGGAAGGCTGAAGCTGTGGGTCTTTCACGGCAGTGCAGCCAGATGTTAAGGGCCCCTGCCAGGGCTGGGCCATGATGCTCTGGTCCTCCTGTGCCGGGGGCACCGGGGTGGCTGCAGCTCCCTCCTCGTCTCAGTCCCAGCCTGGCCTAGCTCCAGCTCCGAGGGCCCTACCCCCTGCCGAGGCAGCGGAGCCATGGGGCAGCTTTTGTCAAGGTGAGATCTGGCCCTTGAGCCCTTTAAAACCAGCCACAGCTGTGGAGTGTCCAGCTGCAACCCAGGGCAACCAGCCCGACCCCCACGGCTCCAGCCAGGTGCCAAAAGCAGCCCCCACATGCAGCCCGGAGAGCAGGGGCAGGTGCTGGGGCCACAGGCTGGGAGCTAGGTTTCCCCACACTAAGGGCCCCTGGTGGTGAGAAGCTTGACCCCGGGGCGTGTCCAGGGAACCCCCAACCCCAGGGAGCTGGGAGGAGCCAGCTGCCCCTACACCCCAGAGGAGAACAGGGCTGGGGAGCTGGAGCAAAGGGCCCAGCTTACAGGGAGAGGGGGGCCAGGCTGGACGCAGGAATCCCTGGCTGGGTTCTCTGGCCTGGGCTGGACGGTGGGGGGCGGGATGGAAGACCACAATGGGCTCTGCTGGACTGACGTGGGGCGGGCTGGCCTGGGGGCCCCAGGAGGGGAGGGGCTGGGAATGGCAAAGGAGGCATCTCACCGGGCGTTGCCTGAGCCAGGACTCTGGCATCATTTGCTGGGCTCCATCCCCAGTCCCCCAACGAAACGGGCACCACGGCAGCGCTTCCCAGGGAGCCGGGCGGGCAGGGGGCACAGTGCTGCCGATCCTGGGAAGCTGTGTCCCCCACCCAGCGCCGCACGGAGCCCCGCCCCACTCAACAGTGGCCCGCCTCAGGAGCTTCCCAACAGCGAGTTTATTTGTTTCTAGCAAAGTGCAACATCACACGCGGGGCAGTTAGTGCCGAGGGAGCCTGGGTGGGGAGCAGAGAGGGGGCCCCACGTGGCCCTCCAGAGGGCGTGGGGGGCATCCGGCATGACTCGGTGCTGGGGATGGCAGTGGAGTGGGCACGAAGCCAGGCCGCAGCAGGGGGACACCGTTACCAACCAGCGGGTGGGTGCACGTGGGAGCCCTGGCCCCATGCCAGGGAAATCAGGCCCCTTGGCACCTGGAAGGGACAGAGCAGGTGGCAGGGTGGAGGGTGCCATGGGGAGGAACTGCAGGCTGTGGGCAAAGCATTCAGGGCCCCTGCTGTCCCAAGGAAACCCACCAATGCCTCTCATCCCTTTGTCACGGCTTAGCCCCCCAACTCAGCCATGGGAAGGGGCCTCTGCCTGGCAGGTGCATTGGCATCTCACTGGGGTGTGCCGCTTGCAGAGCTGGCATGCTGGGCAGGGGCTGACGGCTGTGGGCTCGGATCGAACTCTGGCCATACGGATTTAGAGGGGGCATCACCTTCCCCCAGGGGTCGCTTCCTCCCAGCCCCCCTAGCCTGGGACACGGCCCATCAGAACAAGCATTGCGTCCCTATGGGGCACTGGCCACTGTCCCCTACAAACTACAGGGCTGGGTGGGGCCCGGCTGGGCTGGCACCGCCTCCCCGGCTCTAGCCTTTGTCTGGCGGGCTGTTCTCCTTCCCACGGTGGCCGTCCCTGTCCCGCGGGGGCCCGTGCCCACGGAGCTCCTTGCTCTGCTGCTTTGCACGGCGCCGCTCTCTCTCCTTCTTGGTGAAGCTGCAAGTCCAAACGCACGGGGCGGGTTACCGGGGCGGGTTACGTGGGGAGCAGAAAGGGCAACGCCCCCCCCCTGCCTCCCCACACACGCTGGGCAGCCCCGACTCCCCTCCCCTGCACGCACAGAGCCACCTCCGCTGCCCCTGCTGCCTGGCCTGACCCCGCTGCAGGCCCCCACATCGAGACCCCCACCCGCGGACATGGCACCCACGCTCTGCTGTGCCTCGGGGGAAGGGGGCGGGCTCACCCCTCCCATCATAGGGCCCGGGGGGGAAGGGGGCGGGCTCACCCCTCCCGCCGAAGGGCCTGGGGGGAGAGGGGAAGAGGGCAGGCTCACCCGTCCCCACCGTAGTGCCGCAGCACATATTCCTCGAAGTCATCGGCCGCCTCCTCGTCGCCCTGCTCCTGCTCCGCCAGCTCCTCCAGCAGCTCCTCCACGTCCTCCGCGAAGTGGCGGAAGCGCAGGCGGTCGTGGGCGAAGGTGCCGTCGCTGGCGAAGGCGCCGTCCAGCCGGGCCGCCAGCCCCGCGTAGTGCTGCCCCCAGCCCAGCCCGGCCATGTACCCCTGCAGCAGCTGCAGGAACTGTCCCTTCTGCACGGGCGCCAGCTCGGCCCCAAACAGCTCCAGCCCCTCCTGGCGGGCGCAGTCGGCCACGCCCGCGCAGCCCTGGGGCGCCCGGTACCGCTGCAGCCGGGGCGGCTCCCAGAAGACGTTGTGCTCGTGGGGCCCGCGGAGGGCCCCCTTCCCGCCACCCGCCCGACGCTGCCCGTTCTGGTCCTTGGCCGGCTTGGTGTCCCGCGGCCCCTGGCGGCTGTGGGGCTCGGGCTGCTCCCGGCGCTTCGGGCGCTTGGCACCATCCTGCTCCCTGCCCCCCGGGTCCCCGTGCCGGCGCCTACGCTCCTCTCTGGCCTCTGGCCTCTTGTGCCACCCCCCCTCCTTCTTGTCAGCTTTGGGTGGTTCCTGCCGGGGGGGGCGGGACGGCTCCGTGGCCCCTCGGCCTTCCCCGCCGCGCCCCTCGCTGTAGTTCTGTTCCCAGCTCTCCACCCGCTGCAGCTCCTGTGCCAGCCGCTGCTCCACACCGGCCAGCTCCACCCGCAGCTGCTCCATCCCGCCGGAGCCCCGGGCTCGCTGCAGGGCCCCCTCCAGCTCCCGCCGCATGGAGCCCAGCAGCCCACGCTGCTTGGCCAGCTCCTGGTGCAGCAGCTGCTCCTCGTGGGGCCGCTCTGCAGCCAGCCCCTCCCTCGGCCGCGGGGTCTCGGCCGCGCCCTCCCGCTCCAGGCCCCGCAGCTGCTCCCGCAGCACCTGCAGCTCGGCCTGGGCGGAGCGGTGAGCCTCAGCCGCCTGCTGCAGCGCCTGGTGGAGCCGCGCGTTCTCCCCTGCCAGGCTCTGCTGCTGGGAGCCGGCCGACGCCTTCTCCCCCTCGCTCTTCTGCAGCAGGGCCTGGAGCTCGTCCTTCTGCGCCTGCGGACACCGGGGGGGGCAGGGTCAGGACAGACGGGTCCAAGCCTGGGGGAGGCAAACAGCCCCCTGGCCGACCCAGGGCACAGGGAAGGGCCAAGTCCCTGCTTGGCCGGGGCAGGCAGAGCGGGCTGGGCCCCTTCCCCCAAGGAGGGAGGGGAGTAAACCCCCCCTCCGGTGCCCCCTGCCTATTCACTAGGCTCCTCCCACCCAGATATAGCAAAGGGCCCAAGCTGTGTCCACACGTCCCCCAGCGCAGGCTGGAATTGCCCCGGGAGCTCTGTGGAGCTCAGCCGGGGGCAGCGGGTGCTGGCCGGGGGCCGGCCCAGCGCACCGAGCGGGCGAGCCGGTCACAGACACGGCAAGGGGCGACGTGTCCGCAGGGCGATCCACAGGGCCGGCTCCCAGACCCCACACAGACCTGCTGCGGCTCACCCCGGGGCAGCTGAGCGCGCTGGCCACGCTAAGAGTTGGCTCTGCCCTTGGCCGAGAGCCACAGCAGACAGGATATGATGCCGACAGTGCCGCCCGTGGGCCTCCCCAAGCACCCACCTGCAGCTCCGCCTGCATGAGCCGGATGTCCTGGTTCTCCTTGGCCAGTTTGTCCAGAAGCAGGCTCATGGAGTGCAGGCTCTGGGGGTCCCCGGCCGGGTCCAGCGGGGGCTGCTGCAGCCAGTCCTGCGAGCGAGGGTAAAAGCTTGGCTCCGTGACTATACAGGGCATGTGAGAGCCAGGATGCAGGGGTTCCCCTCCCAGCTCTGCCCCAGCCCACCCTGCCTCCCTCTGTGCCTCAGTTTCCCCAGCAGGGTGGGGCCAGCGGGTGGCAGACCGCATTGTGTGGTGCTGGCGGGATCTCACGGCGGTATTGCACAGGCCTGTGTGCCCGGGAAACAAAGGCAGGGATGCCTGGGGCTGCATTTCCAGGGCCCCTGCTCCCCCCAAAGCCAATGCCGGGGACACCCCCCTTGTTCAGCAGTGGGGCGCCGAGCTAGTCTCAGGCCTGGAGACCTTCCCCCCCCTCCCCCCCACGTACCTTCACGCCAGCAGCCAGTGGCTGCTGCTCCCCATCTGGGATGTCCCCGGGATCCATGCTCTCCGTGGGGCCTGGCAGGAAGGGAGGAGAGGAGGTTTGAACAGCCGGCTGAGCTGCGTCTCAACAGCTCCACACAGGGCGTCGTGGGGGGGTGTCAATGACACGACCCCCCCGCCCCAGCAGGGAGTCTGGGGGTCGGAGACAGGCGGAGGCCCGGCGAGCGGCATGGCTGGTTAGTGAGGAGGAGGCCGCCCCGGTACTTACCATCCCCAGGGTCGTAGATGGCACCTGGGGAGAGAAACAGACGGTGAAGGAGACGCCGGCGTCAGCCCCATCCGCCCCCCAGCAGCCGCAGGGCCTCACTCACCGGAGAAGGCCAGGAGCCCGACGCCCAGCAGCGCCAGCACGCCCAGCAGGCACGAATTCACACTGAGCCCACTCTCCCCGTCACCGGCTGCCTCGGCCCCACGGCGCTCGGCAGGGCCACACGGGGCCCGGTGTGAGTCCCGCAGCTGCCGCCGGCGCAGACCCTCGGCATCATCCTCGCTGCTGCTCACCTCCTCCGGCAGCTCCCCTGCGGAGCGTGAGGGGAGCCCACTGGGAGCGCCTCATGGAGCCAGGCCCCGCCCCCAAACACTCAGCCCCACCCCTGCTGACCCAGGCCCCGCCCCATACACTCAGCCCCACCCCCACTGAGCCAGGCCCCGCCCCCAGACACTCAGCCCCGTCCCCACTCAGCCCCACCCCCAGACACTCAGCCCCACCCCTGCTGACCCAGGCCCCGCCCCCAGACAGACACTCAGACCAGCCCCCATGGAGCCAGGCACTGCCCCCATGCACATTCAGACCAGCCCCCTGCTAAGTCAGGCAGTCCCCACCATTGAGCCATGGTTCCCTCCCGCACCCCCCTTCCCCGAGACAAGCAACTACTGAGCTGGGCACCCCCAGCACTCAGACAGGCTCCTCACTGAGCTCTCTGCAGGGGGGTGGGGGCTGTGCACCTGTGTCTGGGGGTGAGTCCTGCACGCACCCCTGCGGCCCAACCCTGGAGCTGCCCAGTGACTTGGGACCCACCTGCTCTGCCAGTGGGCGCGGAGCCCGGGGTGTTGGTGTCAGAGCCCAGCTCGGCGTCCTCGGAGCCTGGACCTTCCTGTGCCTGGATCTCTGGCGCCTCGTGGCCCGGTGCACCAGGCCTGGGGGAGGCTGCTGGGCTCGGGGTCTCCTGGGGACACTCCTCAGAGTCCTGGGGACAGAGCGACGCTGTCAGGATCCATGCTCCGCCCACCCCCACGTGCTCCCCGTCCCGGGACACAGGCAGGGCACCCTGAGCCCAGCGGGCAGGAGCTCTGCAGAGGAGACCCGGGGCGGGGAGGGGGGGGCTGTGTGCCCTGGCTGGGCTGGCTCCTTCCCCCACCACGACCGGGCAGCTTGGGAGCCCAGCTCTAGACTCCGACCCCCCACATCAGGGATTAGTGAATGACTTGTACCGGCCTCGCTACCTAGGCTGCCAAAGCTAACGCCACCCTTGCTGGGGGACGGATCTGAGCATCTAACGGCTCCCTACAAACCCCGGCTGCAGGTCTATAATTCCACCTGCGTCTGCCGTCGCCTAGTCTTGGTTGGGTGCAGGGATCAGGGGAGCGAGCCTGGGTCCCTGCGTGCAGCTGAGGTCCATGTTCCAAGTACTAGTAGCTCATGCATCAGAAGCACCAACTGGGACTGACGTCCTATCTCCTTGTGACTCTCTCCTGTGGGTGCTGGGTCCTTACAGGCCCAGGCAGCAGCGGAGACGCATGCAGTTGGGCTGGTTGGTCAGTTGTACTGATTGAGCTCTGAGTCTGTCTAGCTGAACAGAGTCGGTTCAGGGGTGACTTGATCCCAGTCTGAGGATCTATCTGGGAACAAATATTTAATCAGGGGCTCGTCCGTCTAGCAGAGGAAGGTCTAACCGGAGCCAATGGCTGGGAGTTGAAGCTAGACCAATTCAGATTGGAAATCAGGTGTAAATATTTAACTGTGAGGGGAATTAACCGTTGGAACAACTGACCCAGGGGTGTGCTGGGTTCTCCATCACTGTCAACTTTTAAATGGCGAGTGGCTGGTTTTCTAACACCTCTGCTCTAGGGATCACTTGGGGGCAGGTCTCTGGCGTGGGAATCTGTGACCCGCCCCCAGCCTTGACCCACCTTGAACTCAGCCTCCTCGGGGCCGGGGGATATGTTCAGCTGGGAGCCTTCGCTCTTCCTGCCTGGGGAGAGACGGCCTCGTTAGCGTCCAGAGGGCACCAAGCGGGGAGGCCAGTGCCGGAGGAGGGGGATGGGAGCTAGGGCCCCTCTTGCCCGATGCAGAAGCCCTGATGGGCACCTGAGGAAGCCCCCCCCCTTCCGCCCCCAGCCAAAAGAGGCCCAGGGATCCTCCCCCTCCGCCCAAAGGGAAAGAGAGAGCTGGGAACCCAGCCAGGCGGCCAGAGCAACCCATGGGGTCAGGGATGCGCCTGTGTCAGGCAGCAAGCGTGGGCGGGGGGGGGCAGGGAGATGGAGAGCAAGAGGGGCTGGGCAGGGGCAAGCCGGGGGCAGACAGCCTGGGGGGCTGGATGGGGGAAGCCGGGGGCAGACAGCCCAGGGGGCTGGGGAGGCTGGGCAGAATGGGGGGGCGGGGGAAGCCGGGGGCAGACAGCCCGGGGGGCTGGGGGGGCTCATCCCATATCTGTTCCGTTCACGTGCCCGTGTGCACATCCTCAGTGCTGTGCCCCTTGGGGAGGGCGTGTCCTGTTGGTTCCTCGTCCACTGGAGTCTGGGGGACTGTGCCCAGCTCTGGGCCCACGGTTTCCACGGGCAAACCCTGGAGACACAGAGGGCAGGTTACACCAGTCACTACCCGCCCTCCCTGCGCTGCCCGGGCACAGCCCACTCCTCCCTCGCCCTGCCAGGGACAAGGGCCAGCAGAGAAGATCCTCAGATGCTGAAATGAGATCTGAGTGTCAGACCCCCACCCCCGCTGCCCCCTGGGACGTGTTTGGGGCCCAGACCCCATCTCGCCAGAAAACCCAAAGGGGGGGGACAGTACGACACCCCTCACCCAAGGGCCGGCGGCTCGGAGTCACCCAAGAACCCTGAGCAGGAGGCAGCAGAGGGGCAGGGGTGGCAAAGGGGGTCACAGCAGAGGCCAGGGAAAGCCAATTCCCCCACCCCCGAGGAGCTCTGCCCCCTGGGCCAGCGGGAGAAGGAGCAAGAACCGAAGAGACCGGCTTGGCCAGGGCCCCCCCTTGGCACATCCCCACCCTGCAGCCCAGGGCCTCGTGCCGCACCTCGGAGCCTGCGATCACCCAGCTGTTATCCGAGTCCCGCGAGTCCGAGTTCTCGGCCATTCCTGCTCCGGTCCCAGGACAGCCCGGATCCCACCTGCAGGGGACCGAGGGGTCAGTGGTGGGGCAGCCGGCAGCGACCTGGGGCCAGGGGAGAGACGCTGCCCAGAGCACAAGGAATGCCTGACGCCCGGGACAGGGACTTTGCACAGCTCCGGGTGCCCAGGCTGAGGCGCTGCCTGATTTGACTTGCAAAGGGAAATTTGCAAATGAAAACAAAGAGACCTTCAGGCCCCGTTTCCGCGCCGCTTGGCCTCCCAATGGGAGCGGGAACGACGTGTTCCCACCACGGCGCCAGACGGGACGGGAGCCAGGGAGAGACCCCACCCCGCTCTACGGAGCTGGGAATAGAGCCAGGAGCCGGAGCTGCCAACCCCACCTGTCCCCTCTCCCTTGCAGGGGCAGTGGGAGGGGCCCGGGGTTTGGCACCGTTGATAACACAGATCCCTGGTCCCCCAGCCAGGCGCGATGTGGGGAGGGCAGGCTCATTCCCCGGGCAGGTTCTGAGGGCTGGAGATCCGGGGACAGGGGAAGGGGGCAGGGAGGAGCCAGCTGCCTCCCGGGATTCAGCCCATTCCCTGCATGGCTGCCGAGGAGCCCGGCCCACCCGGGGGCGGGGGGCATTCCCAGCTGGCACAGGACATGGCGTAGAAGGCCCCAGGCCTCGAATGGCAGCTGGCGGCCCAGAGAAGGGGAGGGTGTCCAGGTGCCAGGCTGGGACTGGAGTTCCAGGTGCTTCCAGAGAGAGGGGTCACTCCCCATTGCCCGTCTCTGAGCTTCCTGCCCCCGGGGCTCTTGGGATTTCACCCGGGAGCTTCCTTCCCACCCGGAGCAGACCTCACTCCAACGGCCCCTGCAGTGATGTCACAAAGCCAACTCCATGACATCACAATGTTTCCATGACAATAAGATGAAGTCACACAGTTTTGGTTCACATCAAAGGAAGAACTGGGCTGGGAGGGTGCCATTATTGGCTCCCCTTTGGCAAGCAGGGCAGTGGGGGCTGGGAGCCAGGACTCCTGGGTTCTATTCCTGGCTTTGCTGCCACAGACTCACGGTGTGACCTTGCAGGAGTCCCTTCCCCACCATGTGCCTCGGTTTCCCCATTAGTACAATGGGGATAAAGATCCTGCCCCTGTCCTGGGACGGCTGTGAGGTCTGGGCTCTCCCACTCCAGCACAGCCCAGGGGAGCACAGGTCCTCTCCAGCACTCACTCTCTCAGGGCAGGTCACCGAGCTCTGAGAGAAGCAGGAAGTGCCCCAATGTGAGGAAAGGCAGGAAACGCTGCAGCGAGGTGAGACGCAGCGGGGCCCTGCAGAACGGGGGCGCTGCCCAAGGGGGCCCACGGCCCAGCCCCCTGGGGTGACACTGAAGAGGGTCTACAGCAGTGGCTCTCAACCAGGGGTCCGAGGCCCCTGGGGAGCTGCAAGCAGGTTTCAGGGGGTTCACCAAGCATGGGCAGTGTGGGGCCCAGGACAGAGAGCCAAAGCCCCACCGCATGAGCCCTGCCACCCAGGACTGACGCCGAAGCTGACCAATGTAGCTTCATGGGGGCCCCTGTGGCAAGGGACCCCAGGCAATTGCCCTGCCCTAATGCCAGCCCTGGCGTTTATATGCAGAAAACCAGTGACTGGGGCACCGGTGGAATGTTGATAGCATGTGGTGGGGGCCTCCGAAAGAGAACGGTTGAGAACCCCAGGTCTACAGGCATGAGCCAACCTTCCTGGAGTGCTGCCCGGGGCGCCCGTCTCCCCACACCTCTGAGCCCCACCGTCCTGTTCCCTGCGCAGCCCCCAGCCTGCATTCGCCTCGGCCCAGCCCCTGCCTCCCTTCCCCCTCCCGAGCCCCATGCCAATGACACCAGTTGCAACATGGGAAAGCCACACTGGGGAGCTATTTTTAGCTGCTTTTAATGCAGTTTAGCAGGTGGAAGCCGAGGCGGTGACGCGCCGTCTGCCCAGCGGCTCCATAGGGAAGGGCAGCTCCAGCTCGGCACGAGGGGCCCCTGGGCACGGCTTGGGGGGTGCCATTCTGTCCCCTCCTCCCCGGGCTCTGCTGGCAGCGCCTCACAGGAAGGAAGCGGCAGAAAGGAGTTGATTGGAGCCGTGCGGGTGAGGCGCCCTCCCCGGGGAAGCCATGGCACCGGGAGAGCGATATGGGGCGGTGGGCACAGCCCCAGGCTGGGCACGGCCCCGGCAGGGCAGGGAGGAGAGCGGAAGAGCCTGACCCTGCTGTAATGTGAATGGCCCGGCCCGGCCTGGCGAAGGGAGCCCACAGCCGCACCCGTGCCAAGGGCACCGTCGGGCACCTTGGCCCAACGCCTGCCGCAGGGCACTTCCAGGGGCCTCCCTGAGCTAGTGAATCGAGGGGGCCCCAGCTCGACCCTACCCAGGCCAGGCGCCCGCTCCCAGCCAGCCCCTCACCCCGCTGGGCAGTATGGGAACAGGACCCCTTGACATCAGGTCGTGGTCCCCAGGCTGAGAGCACCGGGCCTGCGGGCTCAGGTCCCCCAGGCTCACCCCGCTGGGCTGCGTGCCAGGGACCCGGTGCCTCAGGGCAGGGCCCCCCCAGCCCCTCTCAGGACCACCCTGCTGCTGCCGGTGAAGGCGCCCAACCCCCCCCGCAAGGCGGGGGCCGGCCCTGGGACCGGCGACACCCCAACATCAGCCCCCCGGGATGGGGGCTGCAGCCGGGCAAGGGTCCCCGGTCCCCGCGGGCTCACTGACCTGCTCCGGGCTGACGGGGGCGCTGCGCCGGGGGCACCTGGCTCTGTCTCCCGGGGGGGTCCCGGCCCCGGCGCGTCGCAGCAACTTTGTATCAAACTCCGCCAGCAGCTCGCTACATTCCGGACGGGCGGGCGGGCGCACGTGACCCGCGGAGCCAATCGCAGACACCCCCTGCGCCCCAGCTGTCGGGCGGGGCTCCCGGGGGGGGGGGCAGGAGGTGGCATCAGAGCCCGGCCCTGGCAATGCCTGGCCTGCCCCCCCCCCAGCCGCTCCAGCCTGGCCCCCGTGAGCCACCGCAGCCCCAGGGCCTGGAGCCCGGCCCCACACGAAGCTTCGCGGCAGCCAGACAGCACCTAGGTCACTTCCCTTCCGCAGCAGGGAGCGGCCCCCCCAGGGGTGGGGGAGGAAAGCCCTTGTCACCCCCCTGACCTCGGGGAGCACCTGCCTCTCGCCTCTGCTCCGCCTGCGCCAGCCTCCGGGCCCTGAGGCAGTTTCCTCTCGCAAAGCCCCCGGGCAAGGGCCTCAGCCCCGCACACACTGGGC